AATAGTACATGTAGACCATTTAAAATTACTCAAACAGAAATTAGAGTCAGATGAGGGTCGGGGGGTGGACTTTAACTTAGAAGACAATTTTGCAATTGCTGAGGATAGCAATGCATCTGAAGACAATTTTGCAATTGCTGAGGATAGCAATGCATCTGAGGAGGGAAGTGATGAAAGGGTTGAACCGAGACCACGATTCAGTAGAAGGGGCAGACGCCTCAAGTCTAAAGTTATTTATAGTCCATAAATATAATAACTAGATTAAATAAAAAAAAAAAGATATTCATATTTAATTAACAATTAGTCTTTGTTGTTGGTGTTGTAGAGTCCATCATAAGAATCATGAGAAAAACAAAATATTAATTTACATAAGTCCATGAACATAGATCCATGAATGAAAAGTTGAACTCGTTGACATAGATTGTCCTAAATAAGTAATATTGTTTTTATATTCATATGAAATGGGTTATAGTAAAGATTATTGTACGTAATACATGCACACATATGTAATTTGAAACCATGGGCTACTGCTTTCGGTTGTGTATCGACTGTATTCGTACATGTAAGCAATTGTTGATATTGCATGAGTGATTGAGTGATGCACGATTTTGTAAGTTGTGAGAAACTTAGTGAAATGTATTCACTTGAACATTAGACTAGAGAAAGGTCTTGTTCAGGAATACCAGGTATAAAAGTTTCAGTTTTTGTCGTGTTTATGAATTTGAGAGAATGTTATTATTTTTTTAGGATTTATGTCAAGTTTCAACATGGAAAATGACCATGGACAAGTAGATGTTCTAGACCTCATGGCTGAGGATGACTTTTACTTCGAAGAGTCCGTCTTTGACTTGGACGTGCAGGAATTTGGCTATGTTGCCAACATGAAGTGCCCCATTGCAGATTGCAATTTTCAGGGGACATTCCCATCGAGGGCGAAATTCCAGCGCCATTGGGAAGAGCGTCACGTTCGGGAGGTTCAGAAGTGGGCGTGCCCTCACCAAGGATGCCATGCACTGGTCAGAAGAAAATCCGACATGAAGAGTCACCTGAAATTCATTCATAAGCAGACTAATCCTTCCATCCTTGAAGCCATTATTGCCAAAGCAAGCAGCCAGATGGTGAGGGCCACGAATTATATCGACCCTGGGCTTTTGAAATATAACTTCCGACGTGCCCAGACTTCCCCGACAGCCGGCGTTTCTTCCTCCACAGGATTCCCCTCGATGGCGAACGTTGCTCCCGGGACTGTGGTGATTCCTCCCCCGGTGACTGAGCCGTCCTCTTCGTTTGATCTGTCTTTGACGTTGGCACCGTCCTCTTCGTCGCTGGAACCGTCTTCTTCGTTGTTGGAGTCGTCTTCGTCATTGGAACCATCTTCTTCGTTGGCACATTCGTCTTTGACGTTGGCACCAACCTCTTCGTCGTTGGAACCGTCTTTGCCTTTGGCACCGTTATCTTGTTCGTTGGTGGAGCCGTCTTCTTGCTCGATGGTGGAATCTCCTCTTTCTTCGATGGAACCCGAACACTAGCAACACAGACCTACTCCAAGAAAATATCCATTGATGATTATTTAAAGAAACCCCAGTCCAGATCTACACAGACTCTTTCATATTGTGATGATGATTTTTATATCCCTCCCATACCTTCCACTGAGGACTCACTTCAGATGTATATCGTTAAACTGGGTAGCCAGATAGATAGAATCGCCCGTGTGCGTTTGGTGGCGAAGGAGCGCTTAGAGCAACTTCAAAAACCAGGATCGTCCCTCCGAGAACTGGAAAGCGAGAACCGCGCACTGAAGAGAAAGATATCAGAATTCCTGGAGCGCGAGGAACTTTTTCCAGAACAGTGAGACATTAGTATTATAAGTGTTATTCATATTATTAACTTTGATTTCTGAACTTTAATCAGTTTCATATTGTTACTGTTTGCTTTTAACATTTTCATATCTTAACTACTAGTATTTATTATATACTATGAGATATGTATATGTCTTATTGCTTATTATGACATGTCAGTACATTAATTATGCTTTTATATGTAGCATTAGTACTTGTCAAGTTTTTCATTGAATGTCCATTGAATATTTGAATTAATACTAGTAATTTAGACTTATGTACATGGTACATTAGGTCTTGGGAAGGGGGGAGTGTGACAGTTGAGATCTTTATTGAATATTTATTAATTAATATTCCAGTAATTGATTATTACTTTTGTACATTTACTGATATTAAATTAGCATAAGTCTATGTTTATTATGTATAAAATATACCTATTGCTATTTTGTTAGCGTAATACTTATTGTTCTATTGATTTTGCGCTAAACGTCATTTTTATGTTATGAGTATGACGTCACAGTACGTCCCGGTCCGGGTTAGCCCGACGGTATTATTATTACTGACGACTGTTGTAATTTGGGGAGTACTGATTTTTATACTGAAGAAAGTTAACGTGTTTGGAGGAGATAGCGGTCTATTTTGACCTGTAAGCATTGTCATCATTGTTATAGATGTTTTATTATTGTAATTAAATAAACGGTTAAAACTGAAATCGATTCCTTTTAATTGATTCTGGGACTATTGGGCAACCGCCCGTTACAATATATATACAGACGCAACATTCTTAATAGCCTCTGAAAGGGGAGATTTTCCCCGGAAAAGGGTTTCTTTGGGGGACAGTCAGATAAAAAATGGGGCTTGGTTTTTTTGGGGGGATCATTCTCAAAATGATCATTTCTCAAATGATCAAGGCAAACTATAAGGAGCGAATCAAATAACATGAGTATATACCGCCGCAAGTTCCGATTTTCCTTGCAAGAGAGTCAATTAGACCGCATCGATCATACATATGTGAAAAACAGGTAGCGAATCAAATAACATGAGTATATATATACAGACGCAACATTCTTAAAAACCTCTGAAAGGGGAGATTTTCCCCGGAAAAGGGTTTCTTTGGGGGACAGACAGATAAAAAATGGGGCTTGGTTTTTTTGGGGGGATCATTCTTAAAATGATCATTTCTCAAATGATCAAGGCAAATTATAAGGAGCGAATCAAATAACATGAGTATATACCGCCGCAAGTTCCGATTTTCCTTGCAAGAGAGTCAATTAGACCGCATCGATCATACATATGTGAAAAACAGGTAGCGAATCAAATAACATGAGTATATATATACAGACGCAACATTCTTAATAGCCTCTGAAAGGGGAGATTTTCCCCGGAAAAGGGTTTCTTTGGGGGACAGTCAGATAAAAAATGGGGCTTGGTTTTTTTGGGGGGATCATTCTTAAAATGATCATTTCTCAAATGATCAAGGCAAATTATAAGGAGCGAATCAAATAACATGAGTATATACCGCCGCAAGTTCCGATTTTCCTTCCTTGAACATAAATTAATAAATAACATATAGCACATAGACTAACTAATTTCTTATCATTTCAAGACATGATTTTGAAACCGACAATTCCTGAAGATATTTATTGAGTACATATTCACTTTCAACTTCTGCTGCTAGGCCAATGAAGGTAGTCGTCGAGTGAACACTCTTTACACCACAGTATCATATGAAGGAAGAATCACAAAGACTTTTAATATAAACAAGATAATTTTAATAATAAAGCACATAGTATAAATAAAGAACACATCTATTTATAATATCACTTGAAATTTGCCATGGACAGAGAGAGGAATAGAACAGTATATCATCTATGGTCAAATATACAGGATATCGTGGGTCCAGCCCGAGAATGGCCTTATCTAATACGAAGATTATTTTGGACACCGGATCTCCGACACTTCCAGAGAATTCTGATTGTTACATTTGCTTTTGTGAATGGACTAAATCCGGTTTTATGTTTGGAATGGGTGGATGTAATGCATCTTGCGCGAGATCGTGCTGCAAGAAACCATTTCCAAGCACTGTTCAGGTTAGTATAAAATTCAACATTAGTAAACATTATAAACATTAAGGAAAACGTTAATAATTAAACAACATATATACATTAAATAAAAGAAGCCGGTAAACACAACAAATGTTAATAGGAAAGTGAATTATCAAACTGTAAAGAACACAACAAGTAAAATTTTAACTATTAATAAATTTCAGATTATTTGAGAATGGACGAAACTATACATTATATGCATGGAACGTCGCTATGCGACAATACCAATATCTGGACGGGTCAGTTAGAAGATACGGCAGTAAAAAAAAGAAATAATGTGTAAAATTCTGAAATCGATATTTTCTTATTTTTTTCATATCTTGGGGCTATCAAAACTGGTCTTTAGATGAGATGAAATCAAGGTCACGTGGTTAATAAATGGTAATATTTAAGGGTTGGACATTGAGGCACGGGTAACACTAGATTTGAGATGGCTTCGAGAAAAAGCGGGGGCAATTACAGATTGCGTAAAACTGATAATTTGATGGAACTTTCACCTACAGATTAGGAAAACCCCTGGAATTTTTATTCCTTAATGACTTTAAGTGATGAATTAGTGTATGAATGGTTGAGAACACAGGGTCTGTTAGCTAGCTCAGTGCCTTGCGTTGTCCCCGATTGCGAGGGGACGATGCATTTACGCTCCTCCTCACGAAATCCTGGTGGTTCCATATTCCGCTGCAATGTAGACAGACTTCACACGAGAAATTGTAGAGCCAACTCATTTTTTGAGAAAACGAATTTCTCGATTCAGGACATTATTTAATTTATAAAGTCTTATCTTGATGGTTGCTCACTTGGACAATGCGCGCGTTTTTCCGGGGTTTCCTATAACACGACAGCTGTTCACTGGGGCTCGTACATAAGGGAGCTGTTTAAGGAACACTTCCACAACAACATAAAAAGAAAACAGCTGTCTGGTATCATCGAGATCGACGAGTCACTGTTCGGTCGGCGAGTAAAACACAACAGGGGAAATCCCAACTGTGGATTAAAGGTAATAAACAACCAAATTTGCATATCTTGCAGAATGGAATAAACAAACATAATGAATAAATATTGCAGTATTGAATCAAGGTAATAAACAAACATTGTTGGCATGTTTTGCTCTATTTTAAAGAAATTGAAGGAAAACATAAATAGAAGAATTAAACTATATAATATCTACATTTATAAAAGCCAATGAAATAGCATATCTTGCTGAGAGGTTGCTATAAATAAACACTATTTACATTTCAGATTTGGGTGTTTGGAATGGTCGAGAGGGAGACAAACACCATTATATTATACCCCGTAGCAGACAGGAAAGAGGAAACATTGCTCCCAATCATTCAACGCCATTGTTTGCCTGGGAGTTCCATCTACAGCGATGGGTGGTCGGCATATTGCCCACTAAATGATATGGGATATGAGCACTTCACAGTGATACATAAGTATGCATTCAAAAAGACCTATGTCAATGCGGAGACAGGTGAAGAGAAATCCATCCACACCAATCGTATTGAGGGGGCATGGAAGCATGCAAAAGAGCACTTCAAGAGAATGTCAGGAACTAAAATTTCACAGTTTGAGGGTCACATGGCAGAGATTATGTGGAGGAATCATGTGAAATCCCACCTGTATGATGGATTCTTCAATCTTGTGAAGTAAGTTATTTAATTATGTTCCATTAAATAATATTACTCTAGAGAGGTATAATTTTACTTCACATATTAAAGAATGTTATTATATAATAGATCAGTTTACCCCCTCAATGCCCAACCTACTTACAATTATACAACACCACTATTTGAGACGTGGGCTGGTGTTCCTTCCTGCGAGTTGGGAGAGTGGGATATTAGACCAGGTAAACATTTAAACATAAGTAGAACATTAAAATTAATGAAAAAGTTAGTATAATTCTAACAAAGAACATTATTAGTATTGTTGAAAACATGAAATTTAAAAAGATTTCCTGATCAATGAAAATAATAAATAATGTACATAATGAAATAATCACTCCCTGTGATAATGAAAAAATTGAAAATGGTTTTAGGAAACACTGATGCGGAGAGCGATTCGGAAGTTATGAGTACGCCAGAGGTTTCCTCCCTTCCTACACTTGTATCAGATTCTGAGGATTACGAATCGATTCCACGAAATCAAACTGCGAGTGAGAACACCATTCGGAGAAGAGCAGAACAGGCCCAAGAAGTCTCGGTTGTGGATGAGCTGATCCAAGGATCCGATCTGGACAAAACATTAACTCCTGTTACAGGTAAATCTACAAATCAAATGTATAACGGTAACACCATGTAATGAAATAGACATCATTTTATGCTATAGAAATGTTGATCTAATTTATTTAATATTGAATATCTTTACAATTAGAAAATGCAGAGGCTGCAGATATTCCTTCAACCAGTACGAAATCCTTACTGAGAAGAGGTGCCAGTCAAAAGGCAAAATCAAGTAAGATTTCAGTTTCAATATCTTACATGTACAGTAGATAAAAAGTTAACAAATTTATTCCAAAGAATTAATATTACCTTTGCTTTCACATGTTAGGACAAGCAGTTGCTGAAGTAATCATCGTGGACAGTGACACGGATGCAGAGGAAGATCACAGTAGAGCAGGTACAGGAAGTCCACCTATAATGATAAATTATTTAAATTTTTTAAGTCAATTCTATGTACAATACTAAATATTAATTCAATATATAACAATGTTTAATACTTTTCATACTTTATGTACTGTTCAATGCCCAGAGAGAGATTGAGAAATCGTAAATGCGTATGTCTTTATTCAACTTCATTCATAGGAATATTCGCTCATATAGGTTTCATCATATGTCATAGTTCTCATACAATCCATAATACATCATCACATGACTGACATCATACGATTCATCATACGTCAACATACGGTTCATCATACGATACCTCATACGATTTACTGTAAAGTAAATAAACAAAATTGTAAACAAAAAATTCTTGTAACACAATGCAACACAAATAAACAGAGACAATTCGGACTAGAAAATTGACAGTGCCAAGGCAATTCAGACTAGAAATATATGCCAGAATATATGCTATCAATATCACAAACCCCAAAATAATACTTTATAAGTTAACGTTCTATATATATTACTAAGTATACATGAAAATATCTAACTTTCGAAACTGGTGTTTACAAATGGATATGAGAGTTATCGCCCTTGCGATACACAGTTTAAGCCTAATGCAATAAACACCTATCCCAGACCTATCAATGAATCTTATAAATAGTTTAAGAATATTGTGTTCAATTTAATAAATCTGTAAATGTAGCTTTACATAAGAAGTAATGATTATCCAAAATGCTCGACTATGTAGACCATTATCCGAGTATAAAAAATACTGATTCATAAATAAAATACAAGAAATGCATACAAATACATATAGGTGTGCTGGTGTTTGAATAATTGGCTTACCGAATAAGTAGTTTTTTCCCAATTCCAGAGATGCATTGAACAAAAGTACAGACCAGAGAACGATACCTTCCAGCGAATGTCACTGCCCGTGCAGTACTCAAGAAAATTATGTGTACCCAAAAACTTGTGACGTAATACACTGACATAATGGCGCTAAAATTTGAACATGAGCAAAATGGCTACAACAACCCAGCCCCCTAATTGTGGAGCATAGTGACACAATTATTTCCAAAAAAGCTTAATTTCAAAACAATTTTCATACAATGTTTTGATAAAAAAAAATCTATGACAAAATTTACTATGTAGAACAAATGTTGTCAAATCATGAAACCTGCATAAATGTACAAAATTCCAAAATAATTCTAACATAGTCCAAAAAAAAATCTACAAAAATTAATCCATTTCTAGAATAAGACACAATTTATCTACAGGACGGATCAAACTGTTCGTTGAAGTCTTAACTCTCACTTGACGCACAAAGCCCTTGTCATCTGGTAAAGTTTCTTGAATGATACCCATGGGCCATGAATTCCTCGGAGCATTGGAATCGACAACCAGAACGATATCACCCACTTTGAAGTTTCTTTTTTCTTCACACCATTTCTGTCTCTCTTGAAGTAAGGGTAGATATTCGCGCGTCCAGCGTTTCCAGAAAAGGTTTGCCATGTACTGAATCTGCTTCCAGCGTCGTCTACAATAGTTATGTTCTTTCACAAAAACACCAGGAGGTAAGTTGGGTTTTGTTTTCATTAACAGTAAGTGGTTCGGTGTTAAGGCCTCCAGGTCATCATGTTGGTCTGAACATTTGGTAATGGGTCTTCCATTCAAAATAGACTCGATTTCGGACATCAAGGTATTGAGTCCTTCGTCATCCAAAACTTGTTCTTTCAGTACACTGTTCAAGGTTTTTCTGACGGATCTGATGATTCTTTCCCAAACTCCCCCATGGCGAGATCCCGCAGGTGGATTGAATTTCCAGTCAATATTCTTTTGTAGCATAGAATCTTCAATCTGAGACACATTCCATTCGTTGATGGCACTCCTTAACTCCCGCTCAGCTCCTACAAAGTTGGTACCATTGTCTGATCGCATCCTGACAACTTGACCTCGGCGAGCAATAAAGCGACGTAGTGCGTTGATGTATGAGTCGGTGTCCAGAGATGCTGCTACTTCTAAATGAACTGCACGACTGGTCAAACATGTAAATAGAACTCCATATCGTTTCACATGACTTCTCTTTTGTTTTACGATAAATGGTCCAAAATAATCTACACCTACTCTGGTGAATGGTGGTTCATCTGGGATCAGTCTATCTTCTGGTAAACTGGCCATCTTTTGTTCTCCCACACTTGATCCTTGACGACGACATATTGTGCACTTTGAGACAAGTTTACGTATTGCTGAAGCTGCGTGATCTAGCCAATATTTCTCCCTCAAAACTGCCATCATATTGTTTCTACCTCTATGTTTCAAGTCTTCATGGATTTTTCTGAGAATCAAAGTCGAAATGTGATGGTTCTTGGGTAAGATAATAGGATGTTTACATTCAATTGGCATATTGGCTCTCTGAAGTCGTCCTCCTACCCGCAAAAGTCCATCTTCATCCAAAACTGGGTCGAGTTTCCGTATATAACTGTTTCGCTTCACATGTGAGTTTCCTTCTGCAAGAGTACTCAGTTCATCACAGAATGTTTCACGTTGTACATATCGCAAAATAGCGATTTCAGCTTTCTGTAAGTCCTGAAGCGAAATGTGTCCCAAGACATCTGGTGGGGATCTGACCATTTCATTAGATGATGGGTTGTCAATAAGTTTATTTCGTTGAATACGATGAAGTAGTTTGCTGCGGATCCTCAAAATCCATGCCACAGTTTTCCTTAGCGTATACCAAGAAGAATGATGATTGATAAGTTTCTCAACACCCATCAGGTCAACACTTGGTTCTGCCTTGTGTACATCAGCTACTAATGCTCTAACTGATGCTTTTTTCGCTTCCTGATCATCTAGTATTTCACGCAAATTTTCTGTAGGTGTTTCTGGCCAACAATCAACAGAAGTATAAAGATCTACAAACTTCCTGTAATTTCTGGATGGCTCATGTATGTCATCAATTGTCCTCTCACTGAAGTCGTAGTTAAACTGGTTACGAATCTGCTCTTCTAGCCTCCTTGCGTCAATGCGATTGATGGATACACCAGGGAATGACAAATCCCATTGCCCGACGCCCGGGGCTAGTGAATTTTAGGGGTGGGCAAGTGGAATTTTATCAACCACTTGCCCGTGGGCAAGTGACTTTTCAAAAAATAGAATTTATTTGTAGGCCATGTAAAAGCTGGTCAAGGGGGCTTGCTCAGAATTTGTCTTCCTCTTTTTGGAATTATCTATAAATACAGAATTAGTTTATGGTAGGGCAAGCAAAAATTCAGGTAGGGCAAGTCAATTTTGACCATGTACTTGCCCTTGGACTAGTGCCTTAAAAATCTATTTGTCAGCCCCTGGATACACACAAATTACTGTTGTCATTTGGAGTCACTTCCAGTGGCCCATTGATGACCCAGCCTAGTAAGATTTTTACTGCAAAGGGACCATTTTCTGCACTAGGAACAACATCCCACGGTTCTAATGCCTTTGGTGCATTGACACCAATCAAAAGTCCTACATCACACTCAATCACATTCAAGTCAATGTTATGTAAATGTGGCCATTCTTTTAAGTCTTCTGGAGAAATCACGTCCTTTCTGGACACTGGTAATGTAGACTGCGTAAAGACAGGCGGCAGTTCAAATGTATTTTCTCCGTGAATATCACTTACTTCCAAATCTGATATGACGTAAGTGTCTTGGACCTTTTCTTGTCCCATGGTAACGAGATTCAACTTTGTTCTCTTTCCCTAAATGTTTAAGGAATGCGCAAGAGTCTCTAAACAAAACGTAGCGTTGCTTCCTGAATCTAGAAAGGCATATGTTGTCACATATTTGTCACTGTACTTGGACTTAAGTCTAACAGGCACAATGGGTAATGCCTGCTTCACAGTTTCTCCAGCCCCCTTATGAGCAGCCACCGACAAAGCTGTTGCTTCACTGCCATCTCCATCACTTGAATTCTTTCGGCTGTCATCTTTCTTCTGTGGATTAACATGAAGAATAGTAGGATGAAGTTTTTGACAATGACTACAAGTCAACTTTTGTTGCATTTAGTCTTGAGATGTTCGGGTCTTAGACATGCAAAACACAATCCCTTGGACTTAAGAAATGAATATCTGTCTTTCAAAGATACATTCACATACTTTCTACACACATCCAGTGAATGACCTCCATTACAATATATACAAGGATCCGAGAAAACACATCCTGGATTTTGTCTCTGAGTTATATACACATCACCACATGCGCCTGACTGAACATTTTTTGATGATTCATTCATAGTGATCGCAAAGTTTTTGTGTGTCCCGGAAAACTTTACTGATTTAACAGGTTGACTACGCTGTCCATCTTGAAAACCTTTGGTTGTTGTTTTAGCGTTGCTCAATATATCTCTTCCATAGATAGGATCTGTAGCTTTCCTCGCTTCTTTATAAACAAAGTTGACAAGATGTTGGAATTTCACGATCTGATGTTTTTCTTTAACGTCATACACCACGTTTCTCCATTTTTCATGTAAGTAGTATGGTAACTTTTTCACTAACAGTTTTAAGTTTTCTGAATATTCTAAAACTCTAGCCGCTTCAACGTTTTGATAGCAAACTGACACTCTTTAAGAAAAATGCCATAAGCGTCCAAGGCCTTTGCATCATCAGTCTTTATAACTGGCCACTCTAATGCCTTTTTCACATACGATTGGGCTAATATATCAGCATCTCCATATCTGTCCTTAAATTCGTCTAACGCTGCCTTAAATCCATGTTCTGCATCCATATGTGAATATCCTAAGACAATCTTGTGTGCTTCACCTGAAGTATATTGCAACAGGTAATTCAAACGTTCTTCAGAGGAGTCTGTATTTGAAGAAATTCTTGTGTTGAACTGAATCTCTTGTAATCCATTGGATTTCCATCAAAGGTTTGAATAATCGACCTTGGCTTGTTCAGTTCTCGCGCAACAGTCAAGATACCATGATCACTATTGGTCGATGTCTGAATTGGCACTGAAGAAGATGGTTGCGAAGACACAATATGCGGCACAAGGTTATCACTGACATGAAGAGCTGGCGTCTGAGGTGGCGTAGGAATATACGCATTGTACGTATCTTGAGGCACATTTCTTGGTAACGGTTCATGTGAAGTGTTTTGAAATGCATGCGTATACTGAGGCACATGTATGTAAGGTGTACTCTGAGATAAAAATGTAGACTGAGGAACATGTACATAAGGTGCATTCTGTGGTTGACACATATAAGATGTTTCATGTGAATGTAAAGATTTTCTTCTGTCTTCCCATGGTGGTGCATACGGATTTAATGTTGCAGTTTCTTTTGTTTCAGGTTTGTCACTTGTATGATCTTTAAGAGATTCTTCTAAGTCCAAATTCCTCATAACACTCCTTTCCATTTCTTCAATAATTTTAGTTTTCGCATCTGTTATCTCTATTTCTGTTTTTATTTCAAGTTCTTCTTCTTGTAGTTTCAGTTGTAGCTTAGCTTCTTCCAATTCCTTTCTTTTTGGTAATGCTGAGGCTCTGGCAACGAGTTCTGCTTTCCGCTGTTGTTCTTTTAACTTTTCCATGGAAAGATGACTTGAAGAAGAACTTGTACTGGGTTTGGACCGCACTGATTTATTGTCAGGTGTTGTGTGTCGCAGGATCCAATCCTCTACAGAATCTTTCAGAGCTGCGAATCTTCTATTCCTAGACTGAAAATTCTCATCATCCTCGATTTTCTCAGATGGTGTCAAATACGTCAAATCTTGATATTCTTTATGTGTCACAATCAAATCCTCGTATATCTGCATCCACTTCTTATACTCATTTTTAACTGTATCTTTGCTCGGATTTTCCAGCAGTAACATATATTATCACTTACTTTGGACAGTTTCTGGTCACAACTTCTGATGAACTTTAACTTTTGTTGCATTTGGTAAAAAAGTCCTTTCTCGGTGATCACTCTGTGCCTCTGTCCTGGCTGCTCTTCTGTATCACTTTCTTCTGCATCACACATGGCTGTTGATACTTATTCGTAAATGATGTACTGTTCAATGCCCAGAGAGAGATTTAGAAATCGTAAATGCGTATGTCTTTATTCAACTTCATTCATAGGAATATTCGCTCATATAGGTTTCATCATATGTCATAGTTCTCATACAATCCATAATACATCATCACATGACTGACATCATACGATTCATCATACGTCAACATACGGTTCATCATACGATACCTCATACGATTTACTGTAAAGTAAATAAACAAAATTGTAAACAAAAAATTCTTGTAACACAATGCAATACAAATAAACAGAGACAATTCGGACTAGAAAATTGACAGTGCCAAGGCAATTCAGACTAGAAATATATGCCAGAATATATGCTATCAATATCACAAACCCCAAAATAATACTTTATAAGTTAACGTTCTATATATATTACAAAGTATACATAAAAATATCTAACTTTCGAAACTGGTGTTTACAAATGGATATGAGAGTTATCGCCCTTGTGATACACAGTTTAAGCCTAATGCAATTAACACCTATCCTAAACAACAGATATGCAGACCTATCAATGAATCTTATAAATAGTTTAAGAATATTGTGTTCAATTTAATAAATCTGTAAATGTAGCTTTACATAAGAAGTAATGATTATCCAAAATGCTCGACTATGTAGACCATTATCCGAGTATAAAAAATACTGATTCATAAATAAAATACAAGAAATGTATACAAATACATATGGGTGTGCTGGTGTTTGAATAATTGGCTTACCGAATAAGTAGTTTTTCCCCAATTCCAGAGATGCATTGAACAAAAGTACAGACCAGAGAACGATACCTTCCAGCGAATGTCACTGCCCGTGCAGGACTCAAGAAAATTATGTGTACCCAAAAACTTGTGACGTAATACACTGACATAATGGCGCTAAAATTTGAACATGAGCAAAATGGCTATAACACTTTAGATAAACAGAAGTCTTCTTCAAGAACTGGAAAGGGTTCAAGAACACAAGCATCAGTCAAGTCCGGGAAAGCACCTGCAAAAGAAGGTATTCATAAACACTTTACAATTATTCTGTACCCTTAATTACCAACTGTAGTAAAAATTAAATATTTCTTAACTTTGCTGCACATTCTTAAGACATATACATGTAAATAAAATGTTCAAAGCAGTAAAGAGTATTTTTTCAATGATTTTTAACTTCTTACATGTTAGATGGAGGCAAAGGTACTTCAACAGCAGAAGGTGTCAAGAATGTGGCAAGACTGGCAACATATAAAAGAGCACCTACAAAGAAAGGTATTTATTTGTATAAAACAATAATAACATTTTTAAATTGCAGTAATATATTTTAAAAATTTCAGGAAATATTAGTCAATGGGAAATAACTCTTGCTAAATTTTTGTGCTTAGAAATCTGTATACTGAAATGATTATTATTGAAAGCATTGAATTTCAGTTTGAATACTCAGTTATAAAACATAAATGAAAATAAAAATAATATCGACTCGATATTCCTATTTCTTGTCTTATTAATCTCATCATTTTTTAAATTCAAAGATAACGTACCAACCACCCGCCATAGGACTGATAAAGTATGCCATCCTCCGAATTTCCGTGAGAAGGATCCAGCCATCCCCAAAAGAAAGAGAAAAGTCTCCAATCCATACTCCCGGAATGCTTTTGTCTGGTCAGATGATGACGACTTTGTCCTGTAATGTCTGGGGATTTTGGCAACACGATGTTTCTGTTGTTGGACAATGCTTTCCATATGAAAATGACATAAGATTGATTTAATTCATCTTAAATTACATTAAATATAATTTAAAAGTTATATTGATTTAACATTTTTTCATAAAACGGTATCAATAAATAATATTTACTTGGATGGTAGAGGATTTAAAACCATGGATGTATTTCACGTCCTTCCTCTTCAATGCATCGCCGGAAAAGGCTGCTCTCTTGATGAACAATGTAAACGTTCTTTTCATTGGCTATTTAATCTTTAGACAACCAATCATATCAAGGCTATTAAGTTATAATGGTTTTGCGTAAATACTAAAAACAGGAAAGCTCAGCATTTACCGGAATTAAACATTTGAGCCGTATAAATATATTGTTTTAACAAAGCCACATATTTTCATGTAATAAAGTAGCCAAACTATTTGCAATTCAATGAATTTGATGTTTATTCTGTATCAATATTTAAAATTCAGAAACATTCTATGGAACAAAAGTATTCCGTTTACAAACAGTGTTTGCCAATATTTGATCACATTTTATAGCAAAACGAAATAAGTTAATTGCAAATGATTTATATATAAGGTTTGAATAATTGCAGGATAATTTTTATAAGTATAAGATTTGCGTTTATTCCGTAAATAGCATATATATAAATTAATAAACTGAAACTAAAATAAACGGAATAAATAAATGTGCCTTAATCATTTAAAAAAATGATAATTTTAAGAATTGCGTTTATTCCGTAAATGAGATGATTTAATATATACAACTTTACGGAATAAAAAGCAAAATTTTAATTCCGTTTATTCCGTAAATGATATCATTTAAGATATACAACTTCACGGAATAAAAAGCAAAATTTAAAAAAAATTGTTTATTTCGTTAATGATATGATTTAAGTTGTACTATTTTACGGAATAAAAAGCAAAGATTTAAGAATTGCGTTTATTCCGTAAATGATATAATCTAAGATATACTATTTTACGGAATGAAAAGCAAAATTTATTTTATTGTACTTCATTAATTGCCTGCTGCTAATACGGAATAAATAGCATGTTTTTAAATTAATTAATATACATATCTTTTCTATTTATGGTATTAAAGCATTGAAAGAGAGAAATTGCGTCGGTATATACTCATGTTATTTGATTCGCTTCCTATAATTTGCTTTAATCATTTGCAAAATAATCATTTTAAGAATGATCCCCCCCAAAAAACCAAGCCCCATTTTTTATCTGAATGTCCCCCAAAGAAACCCTTTTCCGGGGAAAATCTCTCCTTTCAGAGGCTTTTAAGAATGTTGCGTCAGTATATATATACTCATGTTATTTGATTCGCTAAACGTTCTTTATAATTTATATGTTTTAAAAGAACCATTTTCGTTTGAAAATCTCCCCTTTCATAGAATTTTAAAATGTTGTCACTGTATATATATATATACTCATGTTATTTGATTCGCTTCCCAATCTTCATATATATAAACGAATCTTTATGAATCCAGCATTGGACCCATCTCTCTCTCTCTCTCTCTCGTGTTATTTTATTTCCTGAATTGAAGTTAAACTACTAAATATTCGTAAATAATAAAATAAACTTGAAAACATCAATAAAATCCCTCTTAGACAAAAAATGACGTTAACGTGTACAACGTCAAATTTATTCCATTCGCGAAGCGAATAACATGATTATGCCGATTCCAAAAGATATCGGCTAAAATGCCAGTAATTTTGAAAGGGAACTCTCATCAAGTGCTAGTCCCAAACTCCAAGCAGGTTTGTTTCGGTAATGAATTGGTAAGTGTGGGGATTATTAAATAAGTTCTGTTTATCTGTCTGTTTTAAAAAATATTAACTCACTAAAAAGGAATCTACCTATTATGATACAAATTAAAGGTCAAAGTTCAAGGTCACCAATCCACAATTCTGTCTGTTTTAGGACTTTGAGCTTTTGCAAGACAATTCATACCACAAATTACTATGGACTACAGAAGACCCCAATTTATATTAACGTCAAAGGTCAAGGTATCTGTGTGTTTTTACTTCAATGCGATATATTACGAAGCTTTTGAAATATCTGTGTGGTCCCACCTTACCTTAAAGTGTCTCTTTTAGTCCAATCCTAGATCCATTCAAACTCTTCTTTTTCCTTAAATGGGGGGGGGGGGGGGGCACAAATTCTTTAAAATAGCTTTTTGATCAAAAACCAAGGGTTCAGAGTAGCTTAAGGGAGATGATGATTAAGAATATTACACTTATGTTTTGTTCTTCGCTCATTAACGTTTTTGTTTACATTCATGTATAATGTAAGTTTTTACTCAATATTTAACTTTATTTTCAGAATAAAAAGGCTTATGTTTTGGAGAAGCCGGAACTGAGCACGATCAATTCTCGGTATGCTGCTTCAGGAAAGACTCTGTTTTTTTTTTGCAAGAAATAGTAGTGGGAAAAGTAATAGTTTCAACATTTAAGAGGGAGAACAGGCTCCTAAATAAAAAGAAAGCAAATGCTTGAAACTAATAAAAGCAGCAGATACACCGCAATATGGTGTAGAAATGAAGTATGACACCATTGTACGAAGTCTTTTTTTTTCAAATCCTGACCCCGGGGGCATGAATTTCACGATTTTTGTAGAGGAATCAATGCCGCTGTTAGGACGGCGCTCTATTAGTTAGTATATAGTAAAAATGAATTTATTCTTTGAAAAATCTTCTACTCTGTTTCTGTATGTTATTTAAAATAACAAAGTACACCTTTATGATAAGTAAGAGTGTCTCTTTTAAAATTGTGAATTTTATGACCCAGGGTCAGGGGTCTGTCTTAGGGTAGGGCTCTATTGATTAAATACTGAAAATAAATTATAAATAACAATAACTTGAATAAAACACAATTTTTATGTCCTCTGTGTTCGAAAAAAAAATATATATATATAATGGTATATCAAATAATTTTTAAATATTTTTTTTAAATAAGTGATATCCCATACTTCTTCATTCTAATCTTATTTAATATTTCTTAAGGCAGGTCCACACTTTTACGGATCCGGTTTTAATTTTACACACCAATATAAAATTTTGATTATCCTTATCTATTGAAAAAAAATCTTTTTGGATGATTAAAAATAATTTAACAAGTATATATTTGTTTGTTATAGTGTCATTGTGCACAGAAAGCATTTAATATACATTATTTATAGGAATAACCACTTTGCACTCTGTTCATAGGATCTATATGTAATTTAGTACATACACAGACAGAGAATTCTTAATTGCCTTTATGGACCTAAAGCTTTTCAATTTTTTTAAACAAACTAACTTGAGATCTATTTATCTTTAATTTTAAGCCTATATATCATCTTTTTAAATTTACTTTTTAATACGTTTTGCGAAGAACGATTGAAAAAATAGATATTCCAAAAATAGGGGTATAGGTGTTCAAAAGGCTGTTTTGGAAAAATTTTCTGGTCAACCATAATAAAGTATGTTTTTTTGCCAACCTAAGATATAATTCTAAATAATTGTGAAGAAAAAATAGCATATAAACATATAAGATTTTGAGAAATATTTAAAATAAAGATATTTTGAGCTTTTTCTCTGAGAGATTTTGACAGAATCAACATAAATTTTTTAGTGTTTTCAAATAGAAATTTCAAATATTTTCTTGACAAATGAATATTTATGATTTTCTTAAGTTTTAACAATAATTGGATGTGATTTGGTACATAGCTTAATAAAATATGATGTTACACTTCTATACGTTGAATTTTTGCTGTTGCATTTTTAGAGGTATATACTCCGAGACAGGTTGCATGAACATTAACCTGCAAAGATATGTTTTTTATGGGTGTTTTGGTTAGATAATGACTTATTCAAGATATTAAAATCAAAAAATAAAGAGTTTGACAGAAAATTCTGAAAATACGGACCTTCCTTAATTGATGGTCTTCATTACATTAAAAAAATATTTCTTAATTCACAATAAATGTTTCTTTAATATGACATTTTAATGCTTACTTTACAGTCATCCTCTTTATCTTTGTTTTCACTGGAATAATCTATTTTAAAACTATGTATATAATCAGATATTTCAGATATGGATACAAGCTTCAATTTATCGAATGAAGATGTCAGACTCAGAGGTATTATCCTCCTGTATAAACATTGCCAGAAGCTGCAGGTGTAGCACTATACTGCAGCCTCTCCATTGGGCCTGCAGAATTTTTTCAATTTGTTTAAACAGGTAAGAACTTGAGGTACTATGATGTTGTAAATTTTGAATTTACTAGGGGGAGGTATATGCAAAATTTACAACATGATAGTTTTGCCTCTGTCCTCAGTTCCTTCATTGTTTTTGGTTTTCGCATATATACATGGCCTCGAATGGATTGGTTTAGTCCCTTGATGGCTTTTTTGACGAGATCCGGCTCTGGAATGGTGAGGTCTGCCGCAGCTTATTGTAGCCGGAATAGGTAGGAGTCAAGTTTTTCATTTGCGCCTTGTTTGATATCGTCTAGGTCTAGGTCCTCATCAGTTTTTCTATACCTATCAAAGAAAGCATGTTTAAAGGCTGACAAGGACGACTTCGATGCTTGGGCCAGTTGGTAAAACCAGTGTTTGACAGGCTCGGTGATGTTGAACGGAATGATGTTCAATGCTTGGCTGTCTGTCATTTGGTATACGCTGACATAGGACATAAAGTTCAGCCACCACTGAACTGCTGACGATGCCCTGTCATATGGCGTGAGGTGCACGGTGACTCTGGGCGGGTTGGTCGTGGTAATGTTTGGTGTTGTTCTCACTGTCGAAATTGTTGGAAGCGGCAGTGAGATGAAGCCAGCCGGCCTCTCTGTTGAGTTGGTAGTGGTCGTCGTTGTGGACGATCTTGATGTAGTGGTCCTAGGGGGAGCTTCATCTTGTCCTCCACTGGCTTCCTGCTCTGACTGGGCCCTGGTTTGTACTCCAGTGTTTTGATTGTTAGGTTTCATCGTGAAAGGTCCGAATAGATCGAAAGGATTTTCCACCAATGGTATCTTTGAGTTTGATCTGGGGAATCGAGATGTTTTGTACTTGATGGGGAATAAGCTGTTGTGTGCAGGGGACACAAGTCTTGATGCACTGCGTAATAAAAATGACAAAGTCGGAATTAAAAGTTGTCGATACTTGTATTTGGCGACTCGCAATAGAATGTATATTTAATAACAAGTTATAAATCAAAGCATTTATAACAATATATGACAATCTTAATATGAGACAAAATCATTATACAATGAATTAACAGTCAAGTTTTTGTGTCTCAAAAATAAGAACAATTACAAGTTAAAATTAACAAAATAAATTGTTTAGTTTTCATAAAGAATGTCATAATTAAACTTTGGAAACATTTTATCGAGTACCAGTTACTATAAAGACCTATCTATATAAATCTAAAAATATACCTTAAACCTGTTAACAAATTATGCGATATTAGATAACAAAGGTTTCCTAACTGATCAATGCTTAGTTACACAAACAGAAATTTAAGCCAGAATTCATAAAATACAACAATTACCTTGATAATTAATTTACTGCAAATAAATTCCATCTTTTTCAACATTTAACTCAAAGGTAAAATGTGCCGAATGTGAAAATAGCCGTTTACTTTTTGTGTCTTACAGTACTGAAGAGTTCAAAACTAAAGGATGACTGCACTTAACGCCGGTTTTTGGGTCTTTTTCAATCTCTGTTTTCACATTTATTTTTGTTTTTATTTTTTCTCGGAAGTCATTTGTTATAGAGTTTGGTCTATTTCCAAATGAAATGCAATGTCATTAAGGTTATAAACTGCGCTGCAATAAAATAATTCGTTGTTTCCTTACCCCACCTCTCTTCAAATATCGGGAAATTAGATTTAACTGCCCTTGAATGAAGATAAGATTTATAAATATGCATAAGAGGTGGAGCTAATATTGTTATGAGTGGTCTAAATTTAGAACAGTAACTGTATTTATATTCAGTGTATTCTCTCTCTCCCTCTCTCTCGTCATATGTTTGTCACTTTTATCTTTTAAGTTTTCAAATAAAGTATATAACTAATAAAAAATAACATCGCCCGGTAGAAGTAGTCATTCTCATTGATAATCAAAAGCAATGGCTGATGTCAACAATTTGCGTGTTCGAATATAAGTGCCGACTAGCTCAGTCGGTAATGCACAGAATCAATGATATTCAGGTCCAGGATCGAGACCCGCTAACAGCAGTAAGACTTACTTTATTTTTCCCTTTGACAAAAAAGAAAGAAAAACATCACACTTACTTTTTAAAAAAAAAAAATAGTTTCTTTCATAATTACTTTTCCCTATTAATGAGCGTGCTGGGGAATTTCGATTTTATTTATTGGATCTTACTTTAGATGTTCATATTAAACAATGGTTCAAAACATATAAACGAATCTCTATCTTCATGAAGACTATGAACATGTAGAGACATATAATGCACTCAAAAATATATAAAGATAGTAAAATGAAATGATTTTTAGATAAATGTAAGAATATTCTTATAGATATCTTAGAGAAGAAAGAACAGCCCGTGTTCGATGGGAATGGATTGAAACAGATATGGACAATCACTATCGCCCAGCAGAATGCGTGTTTCCTTACACGTCACGTGATGGAATATTAGTATTCACAGAGTTACCTGGGTATAGAAATCACGTGGATAATTATAATATTCAACAGGTAACAACGTGGTCAAAATGACCTGTTTACTATAGAGAAAGTGAACACAAGAGAAACAGTTTTTTCTCTTTTTAACCATGAGCGCATGTTTGTCTATTGATCTCCTTTTGATATGAGGTAATGTATATAAATATACAACTACCATAAAAAGGAGAACAATAGACAAACATGCGCTGACTATGCATTCAGCCTGTAAAAAGGTGGGCGTACTCATTATCCTATAGAGATTCCAGAATATGCGATGACCCCTCACTATAAAAACGACTTCGAACTTCGTTAATACGAACTATTAATTAACGTAATTACACAAAGTTGCAGTTAAGACATTTACCATTTCTACCATTAAAAGAAAAATGTCCATCTTTAAAATTTATTATGTCGCAATTTTTAAGTTTCCTTAAGTACAGTCATCCTTTAGACGCTCAGCGCAAAGATTCAAATTGATAAATGTACAAAGATCAGTGTTAGGAATTAAAAGTCAAAAACATACATAATAATAAAAAAGAAACTCATTTACATTTTAGGTTATCAACCAACATACTCAACTTATTAACTTTGACGAAAAAAGTTAATTAAATAATAAAAATATACATTTAAAAATTGAACAAAAATCAAGCTTTGCTATAAATTTAAGTCTTTACATTTTCTTAATAACCGATTAAAATAATAAACTAAAACTTAGAAAAATTTGTAACATACGTGCGTAATAAAAATGACAAAGTCGGAATTAAAAGTTGTCGATACTTGTATTTGGCGACTCGCAATAGAATGACCAAAACGGGTGCGAGCGCTATTATCAATTCCGACTGACCACACAGGTAACCAATCAAAAAGCAGAATCGAGTGCATGGACAATTACCTTACGGTTGAGTAATTTACGATTTTACCTGAGAGACATATTCTTTGATACCAAAAAACCTGACAATTTTAACTTACGGCTATATTGGCAGTGATTGAATTTTAACACTATAAATCTGCCAAACAAACATTGCAAAATTGAGTAAAATAGATGAAAGAGTAAAACAAGTTTCATGTCGCAATCGTATTAGCGTCATCCTTTGTTACAATAAATTTTTAACCGGGAAGTGATAAATGTTTTATAACCAACCTTAGATGACCACATGTGGTAACAAAAGAAACTACATGCCGAAGACTTAGAGAAATTAACAATTTCCTGATCTATTGACTTAGAGTAAATTTGCTTTATAGAAAGTTTTCTTACAAAGGAATGTTCATCTAAAACATGTTAAAAGTACAATCTAAATTTCCTTAGAAATATTTACTGTATTTGAAATGATTTATAAATTTAAAATAAAAATTTAAATAAAAAAGAAATGAAATAGAATTATAATTTAGATTTTATGATTACTTTATAAAACAGATTTCTTGACTAAAAAGGTTTTGAATTTACTTGAGGAGAGGTAAATGCAAAATTTACAACATGATAGTACTGTGAGTACTATGAACCTCCCATACGAATATAATGGTATTATACATATATTGCAGTGGAAAACCCATAAAGTGTGGCAAACCAAAAAAAAAAAATAGGAGGACTTCCGGTTGACGAATGGCGGGGTGAGTGGTGTTTTTGGAGCTCCTAGGATATTTCTATTGTAAATAACTTTTAACACTCAGTCAGGCCAAATTGTTTAGTATTTCAATAATATATTACTGTGAGCATAAATACATGTTATGTACTCTTAATATTTCATAACAGTATTTTCTATACCTGTTGTAAGTGATGAGTTTGTCAGAGTTTTGTCTGGATCTGACTCCAACAGAAGCTTATCGATACTATCCAGACTGCATGTCTGCTGTTCCTGTCGCAGTCGTGTTATCACTGGCCGTTCTGTTCCTAGGGATGTCGGAGAAGTCATCACCGTCGGAAAAAATGATGCATTCCTTGGACGTAACTGGGTCACTTGCGCTTTCTGCATCCGATTCTGTTTCCGCATCCGTGTTCCCTATAATATAAAAACCTTCATCAGTTAAAATATATTTAGTTTATTATTTAATTCTTAAAATTACTTTCATACTAACTCTGTTAAATTATGTTAATACTAACTAATCAGTTTTACATTGTTACCAATAGTAACAGTTTATTGTTACACTGATTTGTTTTTGTTGAAATTAAATTTATTCTAATTAATTTGTTGATGTGTCCAATACTTTATTTTTGATATACCTGGTCTGATATCCCAGTCAGACAACTGGGAGTCTGGCAGACAGGTCCATGTGTCAAACAATGGGGTGGTGTATTAGTATGTGACAGGATTGTCGAGGGGGTACACCGACTTCACTAGATCGAAGAAGGAGGAAAAGACATCTGCGCTGATATGTGACCTCCACATTATTTCGGCGTGGTGTCCTTCAAATTGACTGATCTTTTTGCCCGCCATTCTCTTAAAGTGGTCTTTTGCGTGTTTCTACGCACCCTCAATGCGGTTGGTATGGGCATCCATCTCTTGCTGTGTTGATGTATTAATATACGTCTTCTTGAAGGCATATTTGATCTTGCCATGGCCAGCTTCTTTTCGTACTCAGACTTTGTGTCATCATCCAAATTATCAGGAGTCGGGATAAGTCAGCTTGATTGGCTTGCATCAATGCCGTTCTAAACCCCATAAAAGCTCTCGGACCTCGACGTAAAATGATACTGATCAATTTCCTGTTTTTGTCATAGCTGGTTTTCTCAGCGTCTATCTGTTGTCTCATTTCATCAGTAATTATGTTTGAAGTGTAAAGATGCCCCGCAACATGAACAGCCATCATCTTCTTCACCAATGTTGAGTAGTTTGCCTTTGTCTTGATGTTTTTGCTCCATTTTTGTTGATGGCAAGGTTTCTCACAAGATACTATCTGAGATACGCTGAAGACTGATGAAAATTTTCAAAATGATACAAGTTTATATATGCTTTAAGTCACGTGACTCATGACTGTAGACTCCCCCTTGACTGTAGACTCCCCCATGACGTCAGTGACTGTAGACTCCCCTTTCGATATGACTTTTCTGTAGATCTGTAGAACACGCTGACTGTAGTTTTCGGCATTACAGATCCTTATTGGCGTCTGAGTTTTGTAAATGTTTCTCCAGTATAGGATTTAGAATTTTTGAAATATAATTTATTCTTCTTTTGAAACGATATCTGTCCAAAGCCATGGTCATCCATTCCCCCTTCCGATCTTCATAGGGAATCAGGATGATCGTTATTTTGTCTGAAAATTTCACCGTATTGTCCATAGTCCCTCTTCTTTGAAAATTCTACATTTTATTCCTGCAACATTTTATATATGATTTTGTGCTTTTAAAATAGATCCATCCATGTGATCTACGGATGCTTTAAGGTACTGCCACGGTGTTTTACTCAAAGTAATTCCTTCGTTCCCCGGTTTTCCGGACTGAAATCGTCGTATGTCAATCTGTATGGTGTCATTGGCACATATCATGGCATAAACTTCGTTGGAGAGGGGGTACCGATCCACGTAGGAACATGTTTTAATGACATCTTTTTCCAGTGTAGGGCGTAACACACAGTCTACAGGGGTAAGTTTTTTCTTCTCGTGTAAGACACTGACAGCGACGCACAAAGAAATGATAAGTACAATCGCAAAAAAGCTAGGAATTACGATTACGATTTTTTCTTCAATTTCTCTTTCAACATCCCTTTGCATTCGTTACCACAATCACCTGTAAGAAGCTCCATCATTACCATTTGCTCAGCCATCTTTAAGCAAAATGTTTTGTCTATCTACTACATTGCACATTTATATATATATATATATATATATATATATATATATATATATATATATATATATATATATATATATATATATATATATATATATATATATGACCACTCCGTGGGCGGGATTTGGAAAACCCTTTGGTGTCAACTTGAACCTTACAAATTATATTCTCTTAAGGTCTGTGGAAAGTACTTTTTCGGCATAACCCTACGTTTTAATATGTATTCTTCAGATCCCCAGCTATCTGCAATGTCGTAACCATTTTTCATTTTTTCCTTAAAATTCGCAATACAGTCTTCTTTTCTGTCAAACCATTGACTTTCTTGTAAAGTCCATTTCTTCTTAAAGCATTCCATGCTAAAATTTTCCATTTGTACTTTCCCTGAGTTGCCATCGTTATAACAACACAACTGAGATTTACAAGGTATTTATTCTTATTGTCTAAAAAAAAGGTCAGTGACTGTAGACTCCCATGACTGTAAAATCGTGATCTATAATGTTTGGAAAACCCCATGACGTCATTGACTGTAGACTCCTTGACTGTAGACTCATTCTTTGCACTAAGTTAACCCATGACGTCATTGACTGTAGACTCACTTTTTGCACTAAGGTAACCCAATGACGTCATTGACTGTAGACTCCACCCTTGACTGTGACCTCATATGACCTTTTTGGGAAAAACCCATGACGTCATCCTGACTGTAGACTGACTGTTCTCTGTCCCCCTTACTACTAATGTAGCAATGCAAAAAATTTTTATTCTTGAAAACACAGACGCCAGAACTAAATCGACTGGGGAAATATACGGAGTGACAGGAGTACTAGCGAAGTCAACAAACTATAGTCAAATTCATGATGTTTTCCTACCAGAAAAACTAATTCAGAAAGGACAAGATAGGGTAAGACCAGTATTTGGCCCCCGATTTGGGGTGTCTTTCAGAATAATCCGACAGTTTATCCATGAAAACTTGTTTTCACTCTTGTCACAAAATGAATGCTGGTTTTAAGATTTAGGATATACAGAGGTCACAGTGAGGTCAGGAAATAGGTAAATTTTCGAAATTTCTCATTTTTATGCAAATTTTCACTAATTTTACAGCACATTTTCTTTCGGAAAACATAGCACACGCTTGCCTATCTACCAAATTTATATATTTTATACACGGATATCAGATGCAGTATATATGTAAAAATCTCAGATAGGCAAGCGTGTGCTGTATGTTTTCCAAAGAGAAATGTACCCCACATATGATGAAAATCCACCAGAATTGAGGAAATTCGTGAAAATGTCCTATTTCTGAACCCTCTAGTTGCTTCCATGTAGCCTTTCTATCAAAATTAGTGCTTGTCTTAAAGTAAGCATCATTTTAACTTCTTAACTACAAACTATCACAGTTTTACTAGTGTTCTGATTTTTATATCAAAAGTTCGGCTATTACCCTATCTTGTCCTTTAAGGTAAAGATCCATACCACGTAAAATAACGTTATGTGACGTTATTCTCGTTTGTGACGTTATTACGTCAAACGCGCCCGACGCTTAATCTATCAAAAATGCCTGACGTCGATTTCACTTACCGTGAAAAAAAGGTACATTAATTTCCAAATAAAAGGCATAAATATACGATGTTCAGTTATTTTCCGGGATGCATGATCGAAGGAGAGTTTAAATTTAGATGATTCGTCAAACCGAAAGTACAACAAAGATGGCATGGAAGATTCATTGTCTCGAGTACAAGATAACTAAAAGACTTCGACAATCGGGTCGTTTTTTGTCTCTGTAAGTTGAAGAAATACAGAGTAACAAATAAATGGTTCTCTTGTCGAAAGTCTATATCGTTTGCTTACATGTTTGTACATAGGCTTAGTACATAACCATTTTCGAACCACGTACGGCTCTGAAAGTATTCAGGTACCTAACTACTTTGCTTCAATATTCCGATTTTTATATGTCGTTTTTCTCTTCTCGATTGTTTGAATTAAAATATCGTCCCCTGGGGATTGACTCAGGATTTTGAAAAAAATTATGGAAAACTTTTTTTTTTTACAATGTATATATCATACATAAAACAGTTACTGCACAAATATTAATGCTCTGTTATTTGGTATATCCAGTAATCCTTGCACTGAAACATAAAATAATTATTCAATATTGATAAAAAAAAAAACAGAATATTTCATTTAAGTAGGAAAGGACATTGATACATTGACAAAACAATTCCTTAATACACATAATATGTGACATATATGCTGAAAATTTGGGAAAATTTGTTTTAAAGCTAGTGCACAATAATCTTTAGCTTTCATTTGTAGTGCTTTGGGTATACAATGTAGTGTATTGCTGCACATGTCATTAGACTGACAGGTGTCCTGGGTTCGATTCTCTGGAAGTTGAAAAAATACAGAGTAACAAATAAATGGTTCTCTTTTGTCGAAAGTCATTATCGTTTGCTTATATACTTGTACATAGTACATAACCATTTTCGAACCTTTTGGGCCTCTTGTTATATGTTTGCTAGAGCCAATTTCCAAATTGATGATAAAATTACATATTTCTCATCTACGGTATATGCAATATGTATAATAAATGAGAAAAACATACGTCGAACAGACCAAGGGGTCTATATCAGATGGGGAAAGGGGATATTTCTGTCTTT